ACATATACATATACATATACATATACATATACATATACATATACATATACACATACATATACATATACATATACGTACTCGGGTGAACATGCTTATGAACTACTTTTGTATTACGTTCATCGAAAGGGACTTGAAGTGTTTTTATTATTATCTGAAGCGTGAAAACGAGAAACACGACCACTTTAAAAGTGGCATCAAGTGGACCTCTCACTAACATAAATGAAGAAGATCACTGTACAGAGTAAGATTGGTATATCGAGCCCATTGACCCCTCATAGAGATCCGATTGACCTACCAAACAAAGTATAATTTATCATTCTGAGAGAAATATTCTCAGCTTTATAAAAAAAATAATAACAACTAAAAACGTTGCAGTCTGCTGCAATCGGTTCCGTGATTCTTTGTTCAATTGTAAAATGTAGGTGACACACTAATATGAATTGTGCAGTTGGACAGATATACATATGTACATATGTATATGTAATTTACTCATTCACAAAAGTGAAATGAGTACATTGGTTTCGTGCGATGCCCGTTTTGTCCGTCCCCCTGGCCGTAGGAACGCAATTTATACCTTTAAAGCTAGAGTCACCAAATTTTAAATGTAGACTTATAAGTATAACTAGAGACTTGTGGCTTGGCGATTACGCTTTTTAATATTATAATCACAATTTGAAAGTTTCGCGAAGAAAGTACATCTACGTATAACAAATCTTAGAGAATGATACAACAAAATAATAATACAATAACAATCTGAAAGTTTTATGAAGAATGTCTATCCTCAAAAAAGTTATTAACAAATTAAGTTAAGTTAAGTTAAGCCCACACTGCACCCCATATGTATGTCTGTATGTGGATGTATTATTTTATTTCTAAGCAAAAAAGAAGCAAAGAATTATTGAAATATCAGTTGCTCGAAGGGGTTAGGTGTTATCGTAGTTGAGTAGTCTCGGCTAGAGCTTTTTTACTTGTTTAACTTTTTTTTTTTTTTTCAGTCTTATCAGGAGGAAAACGAATCTGGAAAATGTTGCCAAACTGAACAAAAGAAGTTATAAAATAGTTTCTCCCTGAACAGATGTCAAACGCAGAGCTGGCACATTCGCGTTCTTCTTCGCCCTGCGCCGTGCCACAAGATTCCAATTTTGTGGGTGGGATCTATGCAAATGCTGCTGCATCTAATTCTGTGGCTCCTACACGACAAACGGCCCCACAATCGACGTCCATGGCATTGGAGCAATATCGACTGCAACTTTATAACTATGCCTTGAACATTGAGCGGCTGAGGTGTCCGCCGTACACGACAGCCGGAGGCACGGCCGGGCTGTCCTCGTGGCTACATCCGTATAGCTGTCATAGTGTTGCGGGGAGCGCCGGTAATCGACTAGCCACACTCTCGACAATCTCACTTTTCCCGCAGTCCCAGCGCATATTCCATCCGGAGGAGCCGAAACCGCAGCATAGCTACATTGGATTAATTGCAATGGCCATCCTTAGTTCTGCAGAGATGAAGTTAGTGCTATCAGACATTTATCAATACATTTTGGATAACTATCCGTACTTCCGGACACGGGGTCCCGGTTGGCGCAACTCCATACGGCATAATCTATCGCTAAACGATTGCTTCATCAAGTCGGGCCGGAGTGCAAATGGCAAGGGCCACTACTGGGCTATCCATCCCGCTAACATGGATGATTTTCGCAAAGGTGACTTTCGACGTCGCAAGGCGCAGCGCAAAGTTCGCCGCCACATGGGTTTATCTATTGACGATGCCAGCGCAGACTCGCCTAGCCCTCCACCGTTGGACCTGACCACTCCGCCCCCTGTACTGCCGCCGGCTTCAGTGCAAGCGTCCATGCAGTTGGCTGCTCTGAATTACCCCTATCATCAGCATTACATTAGCCACTTCTTCGGACGTAACCCCTACTCCAGCCAGGCTGCAAGTGCGCAACAGCAAAGGTCGGAGCCAGGTTATCAGCTAGCCCAGCATCAGCATCATCAGCATCCGAATCAAAATCCAAATCCAAAACAACATCCACATTCTCTGCCGCATCACCATCCAAATTTAAATCAGCATCAGCATATTGCGTATATCAATTCAACGACGACTACGACAATTGCAAACTTGTATTCGCAGACGCGGAAACGTCAGTTCGACGTTGCATCGCTGCTAGCACCCGATGTTCACATTGTGGATATAGTTGAGGGAGAGGATTCCTCAACGCAGCATACGGTTATAACGAAGGTGCAAGTAAAGAAACAGCAACTATTCCATCGAGAGTTGGTTGCGGAGCAATCAAATACGAATTCCAATACGAGCTCGAATATGAATTTGAATCCTAATACATATCCAGCTTTCGGTGCAACTGAAGGTGCACGTGCAGCTGATGCTGATGTTGATGCAGACATTGATGTGGATGGAGATGACGATGGAGATGGGGAGGGAGATGGGCAGCAGTCAGAAGGAGGGCCGCGCTTGCTCTCGGCTGATGACAATAATTCGTACCTTAGCGATGGCAGACAGTCCCTGTTATATGCGGACATTGCGGAGCAGGGCCAGGAGCCGGAACCCGAACAGCAGGAGCCACGTCATTTTTCCGTTTGTGTTTCACCTCCTTTAGGTAGCTCCGTGGCAAGCAGCAGCCAACATGATTCCAATTCCTTGGAGGAGTGCCCACCTGAAACCACATCTAGTCCGGAGTTATCGAGCAGGTCCACCATGTCCATGTCGCTTAATAGCGTCGATCCACAGATCTTAAGAAGATATTATGGCAGCTATATGGCAGCTGCAGCTGTAGCTAGGCAAGCCACGCTCGAGGCATCGCCCAGAGCCCAAATAAAAAATATAGCCGCGCATACGTCCCAACACCCGCCTATTGAACTGTTACCCAATAAATCATAAAATTAGTCAACATACTTACATTCATAACAGTAGTTACTGAACCCACCCGGCGTTTTCTCTGGGTGACCTATATGTCACTCAAGAAATAAATATATGTAAAATTTGAAGTACTTAATTACATAATTACTTTGTTATATTAGTTCGATAGTCACGGTACGTATGAATGCATGCAAACACACACACCCCTACATAGGTCATTCAAAAATGACTCATTCAATAAAAATAATAACCATCAAAAGTATAAATAAACTCTTGATTTTATTGCTCAATTAAAAGAATCAGAACTTTGAATGTTAACTTGTGACGTGATATTTTTAGTTTGTGCCTTGGCGTGCGATTAGATGTTTGGCGGGTACATAATCAGCAAATCCGTCAGGTGCTCTACAGCAACCAAAATATTTTGTAGGGAGTTTCAAATATTTTTCTGAGTAGAGCATAAGAAAATAAGTAAGAAAACTCTTTTCGAGAGCGCTCGACTAGATACCCTGAACCAAACTAATAAAAACGCATAATAAGTATGCTTAAAATTTCAATATCGATGTATTTAAAAATAGAAATGAGAATACTCATTTAATTAAATATATAAAAATTAAAAAATTACGACACGCCCTGGATTCGAACCCTAGACTTTCCGATCGGCCGTCACGGCTTTTATCACGACGCCATCTCATAGATCCAATAGATTAACTGCTGCAGCGCCATCTAGCAATTATAAACCAAACTAACTGCTGATGTGACTTTAAGAATGTGCCAGAATAAGCAAACTAATAAAAACACACATATAGTATGGTTGAAATTTCAATTTATTTTCAATTTCAATTTATATAAAAATATAAGAGAAATAGAAATCTAATTTTCTTAAATATATACAAATTTTAAAACAACGAAAACAAAATTTCGACGCGCTCCGGGTTCGAACCCGTAACTTCCCGATCGAGCGTCACGCCTTTCATCACGACGCCACCTCACTGTTCAAAGTTGTAACGATAAAACCACTAACCAGAGAACACATAGACCGGACACGTAGTGTAAAGTGTTTTGTACACTTTTTTTTTACGACCCACACAACTTCGTATTTGCTCGGCTCCTCACTTTTAGGTTCAGGC